TAGTTCACGTACTATTTTGTTACCTGGAGATCCACAGGAATTGCTAAAGAAGGCTTTAGGGATCTCAGGGTTGCACTGCAGCAAAACACTGAACTCCTGTCACCTCTCTACCCTTCCTCTCTTGCAATACCATGGTTCACAAAGGCTGCCCTGCTGCAGGACTAGCTGCTTACTTCTTGTGTGGACATACCCCATCCTGCTGTATGCCACCAAAGAATTGTAAGATGTATTTGATCTACATGTTACGCTATTTTGCCTGAAGAGCAAAAATGTGTTGAGTTCCTGATCCTATTTCCTCCATAAATGGTCAGACAACTGCATATTATTCTACACCATGTATTAGCCCCTTAACAGAAGTGGTTTGGAGGGCTTTATGTCTACTTATATGACAAGGAAGAATTATATTGAACCATCACCTTTCCCCTCCAAGCAGTTCCTTCTGGCATTTATTCCTGTACTGTGTGAAAAGGGAATATAGGCCACAGTTACTATATAACTCATAGGCTTGTGATCACAGAATAGGATTGCAGCTGCATGAGCAAAAACATCCTGCAACGTGAACTCTACTCCCAGCCAGTTGGCAGTTGTTCGCAAAAAAAGCTTAGTCTGGTTTTAACTAAGACTGGTTTTCTCCATGATGTCATGTTTGATATCTGGTCACAATGTAAGGAGAATAATGAGAAAGAGACTACTCAGAGCATCCAGAAAAGATCCATTTTCCTGATATTTCCCCCTAACCTGTTTTGAGGATTTGGAGGTAATTTGGGGTATTTGGGGTATTTTTTTTCAGACTATAGTATTCAAGGTCATTTATCTTTTCATCAAAATCAACTATATATAAATACAAGACAACACTCGTCCTATTCTAATCTCGCTCATCTGTAAGTAATGGTAAATATAATAGTTTAACAAATTATTTCCCACCTATTGGGTTTTAAAATGACTAAAATGAAGCAATTATTCAATTTCAAAGTAATTTTAGTTTGAAAACCAAAGTTTCATATGAATGAAGTGGTACAGTTTTTTAAATACCATTCAGATTTTAATTTGCTCTAATAAATACACCCCCCACCACTCTTTTTAAAATTCTGCTTTAACTTACGGTTTCATTTTCTGGGTTGTGTAGATGGAACTCAGGAACCGGTGAATTATTTTACAAATTATTAGAAACACAGACCAGATTCTGTTTAACTGGGGAAAAAATGACAAAGAATAGTACAGAGCGTCTGGATCTGGCAATGAGTCTTGCTGTGTTGAGCTTGCTTTTCTTCTGTGATTTTTTTAAACCCAAACTTTGAATTCCAGCTGGCAAATTCAGTATATTACATGCTTTGTTTTTGGTAACACAATGTACACTATAAACTGTATAGTCCTGTGGCAGTGGGAGAATTTGGAAAGATTATTCTAAATTGTAAAAATATGTCTAAGATTTATACAGGTTAGCTCAGAGATATGCAACATGTTTCTTTGTTTCCTGAGTAGTACACTGGTTAGATTCAAAGATAACCTCAAAACATTAGTTTACACAAATATAGAAAAACATGCAAACATTAAACACTTGTTTAAAGACAAGAGAGGACTTTGACAAATGTAACATCTATCTTTCAAACCTATCATTTCTTAATGGTGAATATGAACTTCAGCGGCCCAATAATTTGTCCATTTCTCAAGATCACATTTGAACAATATGCAAGCCCCAGATGCTAGGTAATCTGTGGCCTCATGGTTTGTAAATGTTTTCTCTTTCTCTTTGTTGGAAGCTATTAACAATGTCACATGTAGGCCAAAAAATAATAAATGTTCACCGCTTTTTTTATAAGCATCTCAGAATAAGTACATATATATTTTTTATTTTAGTCATTCTTCTAAGGTGACAAAAACATACGCGTCTGTGTATTTAAGGGGACCTCTTTAAATACTCCATTGGGAAAAACTGTCCCAACGGAGACAAAAGTTTTTTAAAAGTTTCAATATTTCATCATCACAGAACTTAGCTTATGAGAGACAGTATTGCCTTCTATTTTTTTTTAGCAGAAACAGTTCTTTCTCATAGATAAGAACTTATCCCTTACTGCTTTGCATAGCAATTATTGATGGTAAAAATATTTAGTAGTAATCATGACAATACAGTAAATACAGTGGTTAGACACATCCATCTACTAACAGTATTTATGTCTGTTCCTTGAACGAAGAATCCAAAATTCAGCTGACGTGATACAATAATGCCCAAGGATGTTTCTGTGGGGGTGCGCCCCTATGGCACTGTTGTTACAGCACCGTCATTTAGTACTTCCTCTTTCAAAGCAAAGGACTTTTCCATACTTGCTCTTGGAAGTACTAAATGATGGCACAGTTAACAGCCCGTGCTGCGCTATCCACATGGCGCACGGTTATTTTTAGTTGCTAGATTGCCCTAACGATGCGCTATACAGAGGGAGTGCATCACTACGGTGACATAACTGCATCATCACAGATTTTGCCCACCAACACTACTTAGCCATAGTGCGTTGCTACGGTGACATAGCATCACATGTAGACACACCCTGTGTGTCCAAACTGCCATATACTATCATCTACCTATGTATATCCATAGTATTTGTTATTTCAGACTTATGGCACTTAAGGGTTTTGGTAAAAAGAATTCACAGGCATTATAAGAACTCAACTAGTGGCAAGAAAAGTAGCCAATAGCTAAATAAATAAATAAAAATGATATATTTTCTTTTAGACTGATGCTCATATATATTATATGTACTTGTAAAAGCGTTTAGGATTTTTATTTGGTTAGTTGGTTTTTGGTTTGTTTGATTTTTTGTTTTTTTCTGGAGATCTCACAGTCTTTCAAGGTCTCTTTTCATAGAGAAAAAAATGAATGAAAAATTAAAACACCATATCTGTATTTTTGTGTCTATGGTGATTCTCAGTTAATATAAAATAATTTACAAACTTTATATGCATTCTTAAAACAAGGTACTAATTAAATCAAGTAGGATGGATGTACAAAGTTCTGAGGCTGGTGGCTGTGAGTTAATCTTTCAGACCACAAGACACATGGATAATCCTGGCACAGATTTAGCAGGTCTGCCTTTATGTTAAAACGTATGCGTGATAAAAATATATGACTGAATAAGATTTTTGTGGCTAGCAGTTTTTCATGCCAGTATGACTCCTGTAGATGTTCAGTAAAATTGTCTGATGTGCTGGTATATTCAGAATGAGTTAATAACTTTTTTCAAAGATTTTTCCATGCATTTCTTTGCCATTGTGCAAAATACTTGCGACTATTTTTGCAAATGCAGGTGTTTATTGAAGAGAACACAACCACTGCAGGTGTATATTAAATATTTGCTAAAAGTAAAGATATTAGAAAGAAGCAGTGACTAACACGTATATGTTTTTATCTATATTTACTTCTTTTGGAATTTCTATGAATCCAAATGCTAAACTTCACATCAAGTAAAAGATTTAAACTAGAGTCAATCAAGGAATACATTTGATCACCCATTAGGAAATAAGTGTTGCTCATCTGGAATAGAAAAGGAATATAGTTTTATAGAATCAAAAGTTATCCTTAAATGTTTTTAGTAGTATCGTAAAGAAATAAGGATGTTTTAATTTCTGATTTTCCAGCTCATGGGTCATATTTGACCAACTGCTTTCAGTAGAAGACATGCCACTTTGTTGAGCTATTTAGGAATCAAAAAGACTGTCTTAATTTAAAACAAGGAGCCTTTGTTTTAGTTGGTGACTGCCTTGTGAAATTTTTCAGTTCTCAGCGGGTTAACCAGGGAACAGGGGCAGAGTCATAATTGGCCTATTTAGAGTATTTTGCATGTGAATAGTGTGTTAGTGAAGCATTACTAAGTCTGTTGTGAGTGACATGGTGATTAGAATTTAGATTAGGGAAAACACATTCTGTACTTTATCAAGTACAGTAATTAGTTCAGTCAGTAAAAGTTGATTACAAGTAACGATAAAGTTAGATTTTTGGTACTTAATTTTAAAATTTCTTTATTAAATGGTAAATTTGTTCTTAATATAAATGGTAGTATCTACACCTGTTTTATTGCATATCAGAATAATTAAAAGAACAATGTGTTCAATGCAGAGTATAATCAGGGGATTTATATATTATGGGTAAGTTTCAATGTAGTTTATAGCAAATAGAACATTACTATGAGAAAACTGTTCTTCTGTCATAGTCTGTTAAAGATTTATAATTTCTCTTTTATTATGGTCAGATACTGTTTCCTACTGTTTCGTAGAAACCATCGTCCTTTTGTGACTAAGTACATTTTGAATTTGCTAGTGTGCATCTCGTTAGTTAATAATACAGACATAAACTGGATATACTGAAAGTCCTCTGCGGCGGCTGCTGCTGCTACTATACAATAGATTTAATTGTTTTTGTTTTTGTGTCTTTTTCAATAACCTGGCAAATTAACCATTTTTTTTAGCAATGTATAATTGTATTTTCACGTCTTAATCACATACTGTGTACCTGGTGTGTATATTTTTATATTGCATCAAATTGATATATTTGATTCACGGGCATGACAAAATTTCCAATGTTGGGATAGACAATGAAGATATTTTAATACACATTGAACCGTAAGATTAGCAACAGAATAAAGTTATTTTTTTTAGTTTTGCATTGCTAAAAATAGAGACACCGGCTCATTTTTTTTCCTATGAAGAAAGTGAACAGCATTCAAATATATTTCCTTAATGTACCTCCAAAAGTTTGCGTTGACCAGTTATTGAATTGGAACAAAAAGGAATTATGTATACTTTAAATATAAATGATTCGATTGTTAAATGAGCTACTCTAAAATTGTTTTAAGCAAGGGGACAGACACTCAACTGCAAACATGTTGTATTGTCTCCTATAAAATGTTTGCTTCCTGCAGGTTTCTTTATTGTATTTATTTTAAGGAATAAGAAATAACAAATGATGGGAAAAGTTAATTTACGATATACATTTTTAATATTTTTTTCAGCAAAGTCTCCTTGGAGGTGACATGGATATTGGTAACCCAGGAGCTCTCTCACCAACCAAACCTGGCTCTCAGTACTACCAATATTCTAGCAATAACCCCCGAAGGAGGCCTCTTCACAGTACCTCTATGGGTGAGTCGCATTGCTTTGTATATTTTTTTCCCCCAATTTGGAAAAATAATTATATTTTCACTCTATTTAAGAAGAATTTAAAGTAAAAAGAGTAATTTACAGGATCCTCTCATACTTCCAGCTAGCAGTATCACGGGACTTTTTAAACATTAGCTGATTCCCTGTGTTTACTTCCTTTGTTGCCTGTGCAGGAATCCTTTTTAAAACAAAACAAAACAAAAGAAAGAAAAAAATCTTTTATTTCAGACAAAACCATCTAAAGAAGGAACAAATAATCTAACACCCCATAAACCAAACATTTGCTGTTTTCCAGCAACTTTATATTAGGCTGGCTGACTTGAATAAAGAGTAATGGTGTCCATTACTAAAGCACTGAGAAGAATGAGCCGAGAGCTTGTTGTTTGGCAAAATTATGTGAAAAGTCTGTCTCGTACACTGATAGTATTTTATCTTTTCTTTCCAGAAGTACAAACAAAGAAAGTTAGAAAAGTTCCTCCAGGTTTACCATCTTCAGTAAGTACTGCTCGACAACATCGCTTTTGTGTGCGTTGATTTTTTATTTGATTTGGGGGGGGCAGAAGTGAAGCTGATTCTCAGCGCAAAGAGCATTTATCAGTAAAGACCTTAGACAAGGTAAGAAGGGTCTAAAAATCCTGTCAGGTGTCCAATCTTTGAAGTGATTAATTGCACAAGGAAGACAAACGTGGGTTGGTCATGTTGATTTCAGCAGGGCAGATTCTAAAGAACGGTCTGGAAAGATGCCTAAAGTTCAGAGAGTTTTACCTGTACGTGGGTCTGGATAGAATGAGCATTAGTTTCACGTGTTGGTTAACTTCTTTGTCAGTGTGATGATGATTTATGGATTTGCATGTTAAAAGAGATTTGTGGAGAGGATTTATGAGAAATTTACATGGGTCTCAGCCCAGAATTCAGGGAGCATATCTTTATTTTCTAGTGAAGTATCTGAATTAGGGCTGTAAAGGTAACTGCATCATTTGCTGTCTGCATGTGTAATACCAGGTGTCAACCAACGGAATCCAGCTGTTACCAAAAGCATTATGGGTTATTTAATAAAGATATAGCTGATAATTGCCAACGGTTCCCCCCCCCTCCCCATATGATATATTCTTGCAAAGAATATCCTTGATTAATTCTTTGTGAAAAGAAATGTGGGCACTATCCCAGGCAAACAGATGCATCTTTTTCAATGTTTACTTTCGAATCTATATCTCATGCAATCAGAAGCTGATATTTCTGTTCAGGTGTCTGAAATCCTTTGTTTTGTGAGCCAGATATTTTTTGTATTTATATTTTTCATTCTCTAATATGTAACAAATTCTTTTTCTGAAAAATTGAAAGAACATACATTATATCTTTTAAGAATAGCTATCTAAGAGTAGGGTATTATCAATTTATGGCAGCCTTAAAAAGAAATGAAAGGATATTACAGTAAGTATATCTTGTAAGTATTAGCACAGCTGAAAAAGGTATTTTACTCAGACTTTCCTCTTACTTTGATACATGGCACATATTATCTGTGTTACTTCTGGGCTAGCAATGTATCAGATGAATTTTCAAATCAATGACTATAAACAAATAGTAAACCATACACGAAAAAATTGACCTGACAACCATATTTACTTAATCTACAAATACGGGTGTTAGGAAGAGTTAAGTGTTAATCGGTCTTGCAAAATATGTGAATAAATTGGCATATTAATTTAAGATAGTTTTTTTTTCTTTTGTTTTTACTGTAAATCACTAAATCATTTACTGAAATTGGAGATTAAACTGATATACTTTAAATAGGCTTCATTTAATCTTGTGGCTGTGACAAAGGGACCCTCACTGATTTAGGAATAATGAAACTGTAACCTCAGCACTAGAGACATGCATGAATATCATCATTTCAATACACCAAACATTGGGCTCCGGATGATACTACACAATATCCCAGATATGAATGTTATCATTTTTATATGTCGGAATGCAACAATTGTGAAATTAAGGTTAATAGCATAATACTAGGCATTTTTTAAAATTAAAAGGTAGATACTATACATGCATTTTGAGTTTACTTAACTTTCTGGCTTTAAAGAAATAACTAATATCCCCCCTGCCAAAAGGTTTTTATGAATACTTTTATGCTTCAAGTTAGCGGTGGATTTAATTTAGATGAAACTTTAGCTTTTAATAGCCTTTATGACAACTTCAAATGATATATTCCTCACAGCTGTTTACATTTTGAAGCAAGCCAGTACATAATGTGGATAATATTAAACTCAGTCGAATGTACCTTTGAATGTTCTGGAAAGGCAGAAAAGCTTTGTGCTGTAAAAGCCACATACTTGCTGTAAGGCAAAAATACTTAAAGATGCAGTGCCTTATTTTCAGGTTTCTAAAAATGAACTGTTAGCTCTTTCTAGTACCCAGAATTATACTGGTTTCTTTGTAATACATAGGTAAATCTGCGTGGTATAATGCCCATTTTTTTCTCTGCTTTATTACACTCAGACAACAGTTTTCCACAATTTGTTATGATTTCAAAAATATTTCCCCATACACAGTTGCCCACTTCAGGACAGTTATATTGATGTGCCTGTATCCTTGCTGTAAGGAGGAAGTCTGAGTATGATGGTACCTGTTGTCTACTCTTGCTGTCCCAAGAAGGTTGACTGATGTTTCTATTAGGAACAGCTACATTCAGGGTCTAAAAACTCTGCTGTGGGCAAATTCTACCTCAAGAGCCAGAAACAATTGTTATATTGTTTGCTGAAGGGTCTTAAGCACTTTGCTTCTTTTAATTATTTTTTAAGAAATCTATTAATATGCAGAATTGAAGTACTTAACTACTCTATGATCCCTAAAATTAATCATTTAAAATAATATTTTGGTTTTTCTCATCCAAATCATTCTTAATGTGGACTACCCTCTTTCAGTATTTGAAATTGCCTTTAGCCAGGTTCCCTGTTAATTAAAACATTTGGCTTTTTTTTTAAATAGAAACTGTTAGCATCTCAGAACATAGGAAAATTTACATGTACAGCATGTACGGTGATGTCAATATATATATGTGTGTGTGTGTGTGTGTGTGTGTGTGTGTGTGTGTGTGTTTGTATTCTTAGAAAGGTATAACACTGTTATTGAATAAATGGATATATAAAAATATAACTTTAGCTTTGTTCTCTACATTGATATATGTTGTAAAATGTCATTAAAAACTCAATAGATTCTGAATGAGCAACTGTTTTTCTCTTCAATGTTATAAAAGAGTCAGAATATATTTAGGTGATACATCTTGTCACATTAGACCACCAGGACTATTATGCTAGATAAATAATATGCATTTATAAATTGGCTAAATAGATTATACTGTTCTTAACTGACAGGGTGAAAATATGGCCATCTTTATCTTAAAATACTTCATTTTTAATATTATTTATACCATACATTATAAAGATTGTTCTGAGCACAGCTATAGTAGGTTAATATATTAAGGGTTTTATAGAAAATGTTTATGATTAACTGTAATACATGCTGTATTAACTTTCTGCCTTTCACCAAACAAAGATGGTTTATTTTGACAGCAAAGGAAATTAAACTATGAAAATAATAGTAAGGGTCCAAGTTGAAAGTAGAATCAGGAAGTTTAGAGTTAAAGCTGAAATATCATCCTTAAAAATCCACCCTATTGTGACTAGATGCATTCCAAACAGCAAATGATCTGCCTTGTCTTTATTCAGACACTGCACTGGCTGGCGGTGGGGGGGATGTAAGTCTGGCCTTCATAGCGAGCCTTCAGTCTGGCAGAATGAATGAATGACACTTTTCATCTTAGGATCTCAAAGCACTTAAGAAAAACTTTGTAGCTGAGCCCATTTTCCCACTGCAGTGCAGCCACCACGGAGGGCTGAAAATACCATTTATCGTACAATTGGGCTAGAATAAAACTTCGGAAGCCTAAAAACTAGACTTAAACTGGGATATAGGTCTCAAACCATTGTACCTCATGTCAAAACCCTCTATATTTACCATATGTCATGTTAACTAAACAACCTCCCTGGGTAATCAGTATGCCACTTCATATAGACTGTTCAAATTATCTCTATCCAACATATTCATAGTGCCCTTTGTGAAGAATATCTCCTCTTCTCCTGTCTTCATGGTTTCAGGAGCTTGCACTGATTTCAAGTTTCATAATTTGAATGCGTTTTCCACATCATCAGTTTGATGTAAGTTTCAAAGCATCGGACTGTGGGAGTCGGGAGACCTAGGTTTCACTCCAAACTCTGGATTACTCTGTTAAGACACTGCTTTGTGTCTCAGTTTCTCATCAATAAAGTGAGAAAACAGTACATATTTATTTATAGTGTAATATCTTTGGGGAAGGAATCTCTCTTTCTTAAACCAGATTTACACTACAGATTTCAAATGACATAGCTAAATCAGTCAGGAGTGTGAAGAAATACAATCCCTGGCCAATATAGTTGAGCCAGCAGAAGCTGCTAATGTAGATGGAATTATACCAATAAAAGCTCAGTTTTTCAGGCTTATCTTGTTTTTCCCCCCCATAATACAGGATGGCTTTTACTGTACCAGAACAAAGAGCAGGTTTGCTACTGTAGCTGCATCCGCACTAGGAGTGCTTTGCCAGTATAATGTATTCCTAGTCTCGTAAAGCACTTCTACTATAGAAAAACCTATATACTTGTGCAGTGTCTAGCATAAGAAGACTGTAATTGTTATTTGGACCTGTAGATATTACCACAAAAATTAGTACAATACTCACCTTTGTAAAGTACATTGTAATCCTTCAAGGAAATGCTCTCTGTAAGAGTGAAGTATTGTTGCTATCCAGCATGTTACAGTCCAGACTATTCTTGATTATATTATAATCAAGAATAGTTATATTGGCATTATAAGAATGCCAATATTCTTGTATTGGCATTTCCTTATCCTTGGTTTTCCCCCAAGTTTCCTTTATCTTTTAATCTAAAGCTTTTAACCATTATGGTCAATGGTAGTTTCATCATATCTGTCCTTTTTCCTAATATCTATATATAATAATAATATATAACAATACATTAAGTGTCCATGAAGTGAATCCTGACATTGCTTATTTTCTTATCTTGACGACTGGGAAACTGAGTGCAAAATACAGTGAGCTATGCTGTCCTCACATTTTCATATGTGGATGAGCTGAACGTTTGGTGTAAGACTAGGTAATATTCAAAAGTGAATCCTGGTTCTTTTCTTAACCCTAGATCTCCTCGGTACCTAGAAAGTAAAACTGTAGGGCTGGCTAAGCTATCTTTCCATCACCAAGGACTCCCGTCACCCTCAAGCAGCCAACTAAACACATTTTGTAGCTGCTTTGCATGTGTTGAGACCCAAAATATCCCACTGAGGTCTGAAATCAAAAAGGCCATTTCTTAGTCACCTACCTGAGAAAGAGCTGTTTGAACTGGATATTTTTGCTCTGATGATTTGTGTTGTTATAGTATATATGATAT